AGCCAAGCAACTGGCCAAATGTGGTGACAAACACCTTAAATCCAGTAGTCAGAAAGCAGAGGCAGGCAGATCTCTCTGAGTTCAAGGCCAGCCTGGTTGACATAGTAAATCCTCCCTTAAAAGCAACCTTGTAGTGTGAAATCACATCACTTACATGCTCAGGTCAAATATCAATGGAACCAGCCTGTATCTACCCGTTTGTTAGGACCTCAGAAGCCATACTCAGTCATGAAGAAAGGAATGAATGTAGAGGCTGGTGAGCAAACCTGGCCCATTCCTCAGAAGATATCAAATTACTTTCTTAGTGCACCCTGCATTCCTGCCTGGTGATGGGGGGATCTGGCCCACACTGTCATTTTCTCCTTCGTGTTTTGAACCTTAAGAGAAAAAATTCACATTGAGTTAACCAGGTGTTAGCCATTCCCTTGGAATAATAGGAGGCGAGCTGACCAAATGGAGGGTAGCAATCTTGTCCTTAGCATGTTGGAATACTGGGATGCAGTGCTGTTTCCCACTAACAATGACCATGTGACCTTTTAAACCAAAGCCTTTACTCCCCTACAGAAGCCAGTGGGTGGGCACTCTGGTAAAAAGTGAGGTCAGCTAGGCCATGGTGGTGCATGCCTGTGACCACAGAGTGAGTTCCAGGACAGCCAAGGCTACACAGAGAAACCCTGTCTCCAAAAAAAAAAAAAAAAGGTGGTGGGGGTGAAATCATAGGGGCCTAAGAGACAGCTCAGTGGTTATGAGCTCTGACTTGCAGAGGACCCAGGTTCAGTTCCCAGCATCAGCATGGCAGCTCATACATGTATGTAACTCCAGGGGATCTGATGCCTTCTTCTGGTCTCCACATAAGGAATAAACACAGTACACAGACATACATGGGCAAAACCACATAGACATTAAGTAAAAATATTTACCTCCCTCATTTTTTTTTTTTTTTTTTTTTTTTTTTTTTTTTAAGTAAAGTCATACATAGCCAAGCAGTAGTGGCACATGCACTTGGAGAGTTCCAGGCCAGCCTGGTCTACAGAGTAAATTTCTGGATGGCCAGGGCTATTACACAAAGAAACCCTGTTTGGAAGCGGGGTGTGTGTGTGTGTGTGTGTGTGTGTGTGTGTGTGTGTGTGTGTGTGTGTGTGTTCTCAAGTGCGCTCACATGTTTGAACATTCACACATATATATCCTGCCAAAAGATATCTCATCTCTATTTTAGGATCATTTCTCTAAAATAAACAGGCAACTACTCTATGTGATTGCAGTTGCCTGGAGTGGGCTCCTCTCCCCTCCCCCTGCTCTGAGACTTTCTGAGGAAGATTTATGAATGAAGCAGAAGTTATTTTAGAAGTTTTAGTCTACATGGGAATCCTCTTCTTAAAATATTCTCCATAGTGATGGCTTGGATTTAGAGATCTCTCATGTTGGGAGCCTTGGCAATGCAGATGGAAGGCAGGCAGGGGGACGCTGTTATTTTCACAGGATCGCTGCTGTCTGCTATGAGGGGGCGGATTTTTGAAGGCAGCTTGGGATGAATGTCACAGGGACTCAGTTAATGTACTTGGTGGGGGACTGTCAGAGGCGGAAGGCAGAGCATACGGCCAGGACATGAGTTGACAGGCTGCCAGCAAAGAGAAAGAATGTGGCAGCTAAAACACACCCAAGTTAGCTGAGAGGACACCATGCCTTACAGAACAGAAAAGCCCAAGTAATAAGGAAACACTTGGGAATACTGGGGGATGTTTGTTCATGAATAGAGAAGAAAATAACAGAAGCCACCAAGGACTGTCCCTTGGCCTACCCAGCATGAGTGAAATGTGTGGAGGAAGTGGAACCCAGACTAAGGTCACCAGGTCAGATTCGGTGAGAAACCTAAGAATAAAAGCTCACCGGAAGGGCCTGGAGAGATGAGCTAAGCACAAGCTAGGCTATGGGTTTGATAACCCAGACCCTCCCCAAAACTGACTCTAAAGAGCACCCATATGGTGGCTCACAGCCATCTACAACTCCAGCTCCAGGGATCCAGTGCTTTCTTCTGGCCTCCTTTGGACACCAGCCCACACATAGGGCATGCCATATACATTTAAAAAAAGAAAAAAAGAAGAAAACACCTTTCTGGGCAGTGATGGCATATCCTTTAATCCCAGCACTTGGGAGGCAGAGACAGGTGGATCTGTGGGTTTGAGGCCAGCCTAAACTACAGACTGAATTAGTTGCAGAACAGCCAAGGCTACTACACAGAGAAACCCTGTCTTGAAAAACCAAAAAACCCTTAGTGGGTAAGGGTGTTGGCTACCAAGACTGATGACCTGAGTTTGATGACCCCATGGTGAAAGGAGAGCGCCAACTCCCACAAGTCCTCTGACCTCCACATGTGTGCCTTGCCATGTGTGTACACACACACATACACACACACTCATATGCAAAATAAATAAATGTTAAAAGTCGGGGATGGGCGGGAGAATTTGATATACATTGGGTTTATATGACCAAGATACATTATATACATGTATGAATTTTTAAAGAATAATAAGAGGCATTAGTAAAAAATAATAAATACAAAACAGACAAAAAGGAACCTCACCTGAGATGTGCCAGGAAGTGGACAGAAACGGCATCATTTGCATTTTGTGTTTACATGTGAACGTACCCTCCTTCGGTCGTGGATCCTTTGCTGTTTTGGTTTTGGAGACAGGTTTTCTCTGTGTAGACCAGGTTGTCCTGGACTGCCAAGATCCTATTGCTTCTGCCTCCCGAGCACTGGGATTAAAGGTGTGGGCCACCACCACCAGAGTCCCTCATGGATCTTAATCTTCTATGACATGGGTGCCATTAAACAAAAGAAAAGCAATCAAAACAAGCAAAGAGTTCATGTGTCGTGTTAGAATGGGGAACCCTTAGCAGGTGATTTTAGCTCTGTGGAATGAAACTGGGGTCCATTGTGAAGTGTCTTCATGAGCAGGGTGTGGCTTTCTTCCTTGTCTTTCTTTTCTTTGTTTTTTGAGACAGGGTTTTTTTTTTTTTTTTTTCCTGTGAAACAGCCCTGGCTGTCCTAGAACTCACTCTGTAGGCCAGGCTGACTTCAAACTCACAGAGATTCACCTGCCTTTGCTTCCCAAGTGCTGGGGTTAAAGGATGGGCTACCTCAGCCAGGCTCCAGCAAGGTGTGTTTTTTAACTCATGTAGACCTCAGACTGTGTTAACATCACTGGATGGTCTCCTTTGAGGGGCTGTTGAGTGAGAGGTGGGGATCAGAGAGACACATTCTCTTGGGGGGGTGTGACAGTAGTGTAGAGACATCCTTGTTTGAACTGCAGACTTGACTCTGGGCCCAGGGATGTGGCTCAGCCAGAGGACCTGTGCTTAGTATGAACCAAGCTGTGGTTTCATACCCTCCCTAAAAATGACTCTAAATTTGTCAAATATTGTTTCTTTTCAACTTTTTAAAAATGTATTTATTACCCAGGTGGTGGTGGCACATACCTTTAATCCCAGCACTCAGGAGGCAGAGGCAGAGGCAGGTGGATATCTGCATTTGAGGCCCGCCTGGTCTACAGGACTGCCTGGGCTGTTACACAGAGAAACCATGTCTCACACAACCCCTCCCGCATGCTCACACACAAAAAAAACTATTGTTCTTATTTATGTGTATGCATGTGTATGAAATCATGTGCATCATGTGTGTCCAGATGCCCTTGGAGTACAGATGGTATTGGGTGCCCTAGAACTGGAGTTATAGGCAATTGGGAGCTTCCTGGTGCACAGAACCCTGGTCCTTTGCAGGAGCAGTCAGTGCTTTTAACCACTGAGCCATCTCTCCAGCACCATTCACCTTATACAGATGTCAAACCCCACTAATGATTGAGTTTTTAAATGTAGTTTTCCTCCCTTTCCTAAAAATAAAAATAAAATAAAATACTAAAAAATATACAAATAAACACTCTCCAAGGGTCCCACAAGGACCATGCAGGGATAATGAATAAATGAGTTAGCCCAAAACAAACCATAGAGAATCATCACACTTAGGCCAGCAAAATGGCTCAGCAAGTAAAGTTACTTTCCTCCAAGCCTGAGAACCTGAGACCACTCCCCAGGGACCATATGGAAGTAGGAAGTGATTCCCACAAGGTGTTTTCCACCCTCCATGTACACAATCTCCCACAGTATTTATTACATGTGTCATAAAATTAAAATTGTTTTAACATTTTTCTTTTTTAAATATTTTTTAAAAATTTTTTTTAATGTGTATTGGTGTTCTGCCTACATGTATGTCTGTATGAGGATGCCAGATATCTTGGAACTGGAGTTGCAGAGAAGGAAGAGGAGAAATTGTCTCAGATCTAAGGCAAGCATGTGAGCTGCCATGTGGTGCTGGGAATTGAACCTGAGTCCTTTGTAAGAGCAGCCAGTGCTTTTAACTGCCTCACTATCTATCCAACTCCAAGTTTTTTTTTTTTCTTTTCTTTTAAAGATGGCCAGGCATGGTGGCATACACCTTTAATCCCAGCTCTCTGGAGGCAGAGGCAGGTAGAACTCTGTGAGTTCAAGACCAGCCTGGGCTACATAGTGATGCCTTGCCTTAATAAATAAACAGAAAATTTAGATTCAAGACAGTTTGTTTGTTAAGCACCTGCTAAACTGGAGGTGAGGCTCAGTGGGAGAGCACTTGTCTAGCAGGTGCTAGGCTCTAGGTTCTCCAGTCAGTGCATAGTACTATGAAGAAATAACTTCTTCTCCTTCTTTTTTTCTTCTTCTTCTCTTCCTCCTCTCTTCTTCTCCTCCTTCTTCTTTTTGAGACAAGATCTTTCTGTGTATCCCTGGCTGTCCTGGAATTTTAGACCTGGCTGTCCTGCCTCTGCCTCCCAAGTACCACCATGTCTTGCCTAAGAAGTCATTTTTCAATGCACCTGCTAATATGAAGTGTATGAAGTGGTTTGGGCCCTAGTGGACCATTAGGCTTTTATTTTTTAAATAAATAGGATGTTCTTGTTTTTGCCCCCAAGGCACGGCAGCAAGCTCAATTGCGTCACCAAATGGCAGAGGACAGCAAAGCAGATTACTCTTCCATCCTGCAGAGATTCAACCAAGAGCAATGGGAATACTACCATACCCACATCCCCAACATCTTCCAGGTAAGTGCTCCATGGTACTCACAGCTTGTGGAGACAGGTTGCTTCTGATATGACAAGGCCTCACTGTGTAGCACAGGCTGGCCTGGAAGTCACTGACAGTCATCCTGTCCTGGCCTCCTGAGTCCTGACCTCACAAGTGTGCACCACCATATCTGGCTTCCCAGATGTCCACTAAGTCATTTGTTAAGAGTGGATGTGCATGTATGTGTGTGGAGGCCAGAGATCAGCTTGGATTTGTATCTGTACACCACATGATTGCCTAGTGCCCCTGAAGATCGGAAGAAGGCCTTGCGTCCCTGGAACTAGAGTCCCAGATGATTGTGAGTGGCCATGTGGGTGCTGGGAATTGAATCCAGGACCTCTGCAGAGAAGATAGTGCTTTTATTTGATCCTGGGTCTCTCAGTGACAGGCTGCAGAGATGGCTCTGTAGTTAAAAATGCTCACTGCTCTTGTGGGAGATTGGAGTGTGGTTCGGGGAACCCACATTGCCTAGAACTCCGCCTCCAGGGTATTGTGCCCTCCTCTTTTGGCCTCCTGGGGTACCTCTGTGGACATCTGCACACACATGGCTTATATAAACTCTCTCTCTCACACACATACACATAAAACAGTAAATAAGCCAGCAACCCCCATGGTTTCTCCTGTTTGTTACCCCAGCACAGGGCTTACAGGTACATTCCATCATACCCAGCTTTGACATAGGTTGTGTGGATCAAACTCAGGACCTCATGCTTGCACAGCAAGCCCCTTACCTAATGAGCCATGTCTCAGCCCTCACCGAGTTTTTGACTAGCATGTAGATGAAGCAATGGCCAGCAATAAGAATGAAACACAATGCTAACTTGGGGTTCATAAGGTGCCTGTGTAGACGTCCTGGGTTTTTTGCAGGGTGACATCTTACAACTGTGCCTCTTAGGTGACTGCTTCCTTTTTAAAGGACACTCTGGCTACAAGAAATGCCAGCTTAGCTTTAGGAGACAAAGCAGCATTCAGAGTGGTAGGATCTGAACAAACAAGTATTGTTCCTTTGAATTGTTCTTTCTCTTCTTTTTAAAATGTGTGTGTGTGTGTGTGTGTGTGTGTGTGTGTGTGTGTGTGTGAGTGGTTTATGTATGGTATATATGTGGTGTGTGTATTGTGTGTGTATATGTATATGTGTGTATGTGGTTTATGTGTATGTATATGTATATATTTATGTAGGGTCTGTGTATGTGTGTATATGTGTATATGTATGTGGTGTGTGCGTGCGCATGTATGTGCAATATTTATTTATTTGAGACAGTCTCACTATGGACTCCTAGCTGCCTTTGAACTCACTATGTAGATCCCCCTGCCTGTGCCTCCTAAGTGCTGGGATTAAAGGTGTGGCTACCACACCCAGCCACCTTAGTTTTCAGAGGCAGACTCTCTCATTTTTCTGGAACTTCTTTCTGTGTGTGTCTGGGCTGGTCAGCAACCAGATCTGGAGATCCACTGTCTGTTTCTATGGCACCAGGCTTACTGTTGTACCCACCCCATCTGACCCTGGCACTTTTACATGACAGGTGGGGGTTAGACTCAGGTCCTTGTGATTCTGTGGCAAACACTTTACCAACTGAGCCATCTCTCCAAGCACCTGGATCATTTCTTTGGCTGCCTTAAGTAGTCAAAAATGTTACGAGAGACTCCAGGTGAAGCTCACTGTGGAGCACTGGTTTGTCACACCTAAGTCTGCCCTTCCATCTCCAGTGACAGTCAGTCAAGTAAGGAATGTAGAAAACCACACAAACACACACACACATACACACACACACACACACAAACTCACATATTTTCATGTTTGGAGAATTGTGTCTGGTTTTTGTTTGTTTTTGAGACAGAGTCTTGCTATGTAGCCCAGGCTGGCCTTAAACTAGTGATCCTCCTGCTTTAGCCTCCAGAATGCTAGGGTACACTTGTGGAATCATTTATGTATGTTTTACATTCCAAATGTCGAAAAGCCAAAGTAACTGATTGAAGTAACTGCCCTAGTTGGGTCTGTTGGGTTCTTGGTGTCCCTTGCCACCAATGAACCTCTAGGCCATAGAGGGCAGAGCTCTAGCTCAGCCTGGGTTATGCTGAGAGAGTTACCAAAAGGTTTTGGTAAAAGATGGAACATGAAGGGACATGGCTTTGCTGAGGATGGTTGGTAATACAGCTGGGTTGGGTGTGGGGCATGTTTCTCTAATGTAGCCCTAGCACTTGGAAAGTAGAGGAAGGATGTCAGAAGTCAAGGCTAGCCTGGGCTGCATGGAACCCTGCCTCAAAACCACAAGATAATAAATAATATCATAAAGCCCCGTGATAAAATTCTCTCACAAGGCCAGCTTCAGAAAGGAAGGGTTTATTGGCTCACAGTTGAGGATACAGAGCATCATGGCAGCAAGGCTGGAGGTGGCCGGTCAGCAGTTGGGAAGCAAGGGATGATGAATGCTAGCATTCAGCTTGCTTTCTCCTTTGTTTTCAATTTCCTCTATTTTCATTTTGTATGTCTGAGTGTTTTATCTGCATGCATGTCTGTGAGCCACATTCATGCAGTACCTGCAGGAGCCAGAAGAGGGCATCAGATTCCCCTGGGACTGGGGTTATAAAGGGTTGTGAGCTCCCCTGTGGGTGCTGGGGATCAAACCCTGGTCCTCTGGAAGAATGGCCAATGCTCTTAACCAGTGAGCTATGTATCGCTCCAGCCCCCTCTCCTACAAATAAAAAATTGTCTTGCATTTGCTTATGTATTTATTTGTTGTGCGGTTATGGGTGGTTATATGCTCCTGGCACAGTGGTCAGAGGACACTCTGCTTTCTCATCGCTAAGCTGGTTCCAGGGTTGAATTCAGGTTATTGAGCTTAGAGGCAGGAACATACACCTGCTGAGGTGTCTTGTGGATTTGCTTTTTTTTTTTTTTTTTTTTTTCTTTCAGTCTGGAACCCCCAGCACAATGAATGATGACCCCCACACTTAGAGGAGTTCATCTCACCTCAAACTAATCAAGAAAACCCTTTATAGACACACCCATACTCAGTGGTTGTAGGTCCTGCCAATTGAAATCGATGTTACACATCACAGGGGTACAACTGAAATTGCAGTGCTGTTGTTGGAAGAGCTCACCACAGCTGGCTGATCTGTGATGCTACAATAAACCCACAGTCATTCAGACTCCAGTGTGTTCCCCTGCAGTAATTGCAAGGTAGCAGTATCACCCCAGTTTATACAAAGTCTGGATTTTTGCAGAAAATACAAGAGATGGAGGAACGGCGGATCGTTCGCATCGGAGAGTCCATGAAGACATATGCAGAGGTGGATCGGCAGGTGATACCCATCATCGGGAAATGCCTGGACGGTATAGTGAAGGCAGCGGAGTCTATCGACCAGAAAAATGTAAGTGTAGACATTCCCTGGGATTCTCGTGGCTCTGTCCTCACTCTCCTTGTCCCCCCAGCACCACTTCATGTGTGGACCTCGGCCACCTTTTGGGTGTGGTTAGTATACTTGAAAGCCTTTCTTTGTTTTTCAAGACAGGGTTTTGGCTGGCAGTGGTGGTGCACACCTTTTATCCCAACACCAGGGAGGCAGAGATAGGAGAAAACAGAGAAGGAAGGAGGGAGGGAGGGAGGGGAGGGGAGGGAAGGAGAGGGAAGGGAAGGGAAGGATAGGATTTCTCTGTAGCTTTGGAGCCTGTCCTGTAACTCACTCTGTAGACCAGGCTGGCCTCGAACTCACAGAGATCTACCTGCCTCTGCCTCCGGAGTGCTGGGATTAAAGGTGTGAGCCACCATTGCCCCACCTGAAAGCACTTTTATGAACCCTCAGTGTTTGGATTTAGTTCCCCAATTCTTTAAACACACACACACACACACACACACACACACACACACACACACACACACACACACTCAGGGTTTTCACTGAATTAAGTGGATTTCTTGAAAGAGACAAAGCTCTGTAGGGCACCAGTGACTCAGCTGCCTGCAGAGGGTAGGATGTTTGTCACTAGATGCTGGTAGTATCCTGTTATTGGGGCAGTCAGTGTCATTTTCAGATGTTGCCCAAAGTCCCCTGGGAGGCAAAGTTGTCCTTTGTTTAAAATCCCCACTCAGATTCCTCTGTTCCACTTTTTAATTATCTCTGTAGAGTTTTATCAGTCTGGTGTGTACTGCTGCCTCAGAATGTTTAAAATGGTAAATATTTGTAGGAGAGAGCCCCAGGCAGGAGTTGGCTTGTGGTTCTATTTTTGTTTGTGTGTGGATTATGATTGTAAGGTTTCTTACCTCCCATTTTATTAAGACAAGTTATCTCTCAGTACCCTTCAGTGACCTCAGCCAAGTTTATAAGAAAATTATTCATGCTTTAAAATGAATGGCATCCTCCCCAACCCCGGCAAGCTGCCTGCCTGGGGTGCTCAAACCATCCTTACAAGCTAGAGATGAAAATGTTTTTTTTTTTCATGTTTTTCTCATCAGTTTTAGGTCTCTCAAAACAAAACAAAACAAAAACAAAAACAAAAAACAATACCTTAAAAGTCTATCAGGGCTATAGTGGGGCATACCTTTAATCCCAGTATTATTAAATATTAATATTTAATTAATATTCAAAGCTATGAATTAGTCTATCTAGTAGTAGACACACTACTAAGAGAAAAAAAATCCAGGATCAGTAGGATTTTCTTGGCTTGGCCTCTGCGTTCATTATCAGTCTCTGGTGTTGATGTGGGTTCATGGGTGTGGTTGCAGGACTCCCAGCTGGTCGTAGAAGCCTACAAGTCAGGGTTCGAGCCTCCCGGAGACATTGAATTCGAAGACTACACACAGCCGATGAAACGCACGGTGTCAGAAAACAGCCTTTCCAGCTCCAAAGACAGCAAGTCAGAGCTCAAGTTTGGTGGCAAGTCCAGAGGCAAGCTGTGGCCATTCATCAAGAAAAACAAGGTACTGGCAGTTTGGACCCTGTGTGGGCTGAGGTGACAAAGTGCAGAAGCTCAGAGTTTTGGTTTTAATCGAACTAAGCTCTGTACTTCCAGAAAGGTCGAGAGAACAGCTAGCGTGCTGCGTTCATTTCATGATTCCAATGGTCTCTTTCTGGTAGTGGTGTCTTTGCCATGGCCTCTGTCTTATTGCAGATGTGTTGTCATTGGACTGGGTCACCCACTCTAACATCACTGACTGACCTCTCAACCCTTTCACCCACCCCTTATCCCCCCAGACTACTGGGCACCTCTGCTGGGAGCGAGGGGACATGGGGACATGGTCCCATCTAATCAAGCTTGCCAGCTGGGCTTGGTTTTGAATCCATGTTAACTCTGTCTCCATAAACATTTTTCCATTTTCATTTCATAGCGTAGTGTGTAGGTGCATGACAGCGCTAACCCAGCGGCCTAAAATGGGATGGAGGTGGCATTACTACATTAACCTTAGGTTAGCCTGGATGTCTGAGATTCCCAGGACAGGACTATCCTGCTGTTTTTGAATCCTCAGTAATTTAGCCTCCCCCCCCCCCCCCAATCGAGCTGTGTTAATTTAGGTGCGGAAATGTTTACCCCTCTGGCTTTTGGAATGACTAATGAGAGCCTTAGCTTGCATGTGGCCATCTGCATGAGCTTGGGTCACAAGGTTTTGCTGTCCTGTCGCATACTCACTGACCCTCTCCTTTTCACTCCCTCTTCGTGGAACACATCCTACATGATTTCTTTTGCACCGTGGCATCAATATTAATGGTTTGTGTTTTACTTGCTTTGGATCTTGAATATGATTTGATGCTCATTTCTGTTTTGTGTCTTCTCGTTTCTGATTTTTTTTTTTTTTTACTGTCACTGCTCATCTCTCACTTGTAGCTTATGTCCCTTTTAACATCCCCCCATCAGCCTCCCCCTCCTCCCCCTGCCTCTGCCTCACCCTCTGCTGTTCCCAACGGCCCCCAGTCTCCCAAGCAGCAAAAGGAACCCCTCTCCCACCGCTTCAACGAGTTCATGACCTCCAAACCCAAAATCCACTGCTTCCGGAGCCTAAAGCGTGGGGTAAGTTCCGCTCTGGGATCCTGCGTCTCTTGCACACTGTGTTGCATGTCTCATTCTGCATAACTTACTTTGTCTGTGAATGAACCCAGTGTGTTTTCCGATAACATTTGGTAACATTTGGAGAGAGAAAGCTTGAGCCTACTTTCCCAGAGAGCCAGAGGACAGAAGAATGGCAGACAGAAAGGAGGGAGCAGTGCAGGAGGAGGAGGAGAGGACAGGGCAGCAGGCCTGACATTTTATTCTTTACTCTGTGCTGGAAGCGTCCCACACTTCCGCTTCAGAGGACTGAAGTCATTCGTTTCCTCCTTGCTCTCGCCAACTTTGTGGCCTCTTAGACTGATAGTGTAGAAGATGAGGAAGTGGAAATGACTGGAGAGTCAGAAAATATATGATGACTAATTATAGACCCGAGTGCAGTGCAGGCACTCCGTCCTCGCGAAGCCTTGTGGCAGAGAGGAAGCCAAGCAGGCACACTGGTTCCCTTGTGAAGTTAAGGGACGGCGATAAAATACCTCTCCACTGAATAGGGCTGATCTCTGTACAGGTGAAGCAGCCCAAATTCAAACTTGAAATTCCAAAGTGTTTTGAATGCCATCATGACACTGTGAATAGAAAATTCTATACCTGCCCTCACATGAGATATCACAGCCATAACACAGCACCAGGCTGTGAGTGTGGCCAGAGGTATATGTTTACATGAGGCCTAGCTTCCATCTCCAGGACCACAGAAACTAAACACAGATGCCAGAAGCATGTACAAATGGCATGTTTAAAAACCACACAGGCAAAGCCAATCAGTGGTGGTGCACACTTTTTAATCAGCACTTGGGAGGCAGAGGCAGGTGGATGTCTGAGTTTGAGGCCAGCCTCGTCTACAGAGTGAATTCCAGGACAGCCAGGGCTATGAAGAGAGATCCTGTCTCCAAATAAACAAACAAATAAATAAATAAATTACCAAAACAAAACAAAAAGCAAAACCAAAAAGCATGTAAAACATACAGGTGTTTCATGTTTAGATTTGGATCTCATTCTATCTATGTAGCTATCCCCATAAGGTCTGGAAGCACTTGTGGCCTTGGACAGACATTCTTGTGAGGAACACTAACCCTGCATCTCTTTACAAAGGGACAAGGCACAATTGCAGTGATGTTTATCAAGACTTCCTCCATTCTGTTCTGAGCTTTTGCAGTATGCTAATAGAAACCATGGGGCCAGGGTATGAAGTCAGGGAGTCTGCTTACGCAGTCTGGGGGTCTGTGGTGCCCCATGGGAAAAATCTCTTAGAATGAAATTGCTGTTAAGACTCAGGTTCAAAACCAGGTGTGATGTTGTTTGCACACCTTTCCTATCCTTCAGAAGTTCAAAGCCATCCTGGGCTACATGAAATTCTGTTCAAGACAAACAAACAAAAAAGCCATTCAGTTTTTGGGACAATTAAGATTGTGTGATTAAATCACACATAAACCTCTACAGGAATTGGGGAAGTCATCCAACTTAGATGCCAGCTTAGCTCTCCCAAGTAAAACTCAATGGTAGGTCTACTGAGCCTTCTCCAGTTGACTTTATAATAAACGTCAGGGCTGGCTGTGGTGGCTCACACCTGGAATCCCAGCACTTGGGAGGCTGAGGCAGGAAAAAGTTTAAGGCTAGCTTGGGCTACACATCATTCTATACTAGCCTGGGATGTTAAGTGAGACCCTGCCTCAAACAAAGTCTGTAGACCGATGGTCAGAGCTTCACCCACCTGCAGCTCTGTTGTTTGGTCCACCTGTGGGGTTTCCCTACAGATGTAGCAGCTGCCCTCCTCCTGGGATCTCCAAGCAGCTGAGAGTCAATGACACTCCTTCCTTCCTTCCTTCCTTCGTCCCCCCCTCCCTCCCCCTCCTCTCCCTCCCTCCCCCCTCTCTTCCTCCCTCCTTTCCTTCCTCCCTCCCTCCCCCTTCTCTCCTTCCCTCCCCCCTCTCTTCCTCCCTCCCTCCCCCCTCTCTTCCTCCCTCCTTTCCTTCCTCCTCCCTCCCTCCCCCCTCTCTTCCTCCCTCCCCTTCTTCCTCCCTCCCCCTCCCTCTCCCCTCCCCCTCCCTCCCCTCCTTCCTTCCTCCCTCTCTCTTCCATTTTTGAGACAGGGTTGCTCTACATAGCCCGGAACTTCTGATCTCAGCATGCTGCTTTCGACACCACATCATGTTTTATGCTTGGCTGGGATGAACCCTAGGCAAGTGCTCTACACCTGAGCCGCATCCCCAGCACCGTTTCTATTTTTTTGAAATGAGATCTCATTACGAAGCCCAGGTTGGTCTTAAACTTAGTGGTGATCCTCCTGCTTCACCTCTGGCACACTGAGGTTAGACCAGGATGCTGATTCTATGAAATGAAGGTTCTCTTAGCACAGGAATTCAACAGATAAGGAAACCCACCAGTTGTTGCATTTCAGACAAATGCTCATCTAATTTGCACAGGTTTGGAATTGATTCATGTGCCAGTGGATATTGAAGCAGGAAACACAAAACTCAGGAACTATTTTGTTTTAAGGCTTACTTAGAATATCAATTTAAAAATTGGGAATTTGGGCTGTTGAAATGGTTGAGTGTATATAGGACCCTGACAACCTAAGTTGAGTCTCTTGGACCTACATACTGGAAGGAGAGAACCAAGCTCCACAATTGTCCTCTGACCCCCCACATGCTCACCTTGGTACTCAAATACCTACCCCCACACTGCAAAAGTAAATGTAATAATTTTTTATTAAATCAGAAAATTTAATTTCCTAAAACTGTCAGGACAGCCACTGTCAGCAGGCAGAGTAGCTTCAGAAGTGAACGATGGATCGTGCTGTGCTGAGCTCTGTTGTTGGGACTGGCTGAGCAATCGGCAGCTTCTTGGCTCGATTATGCTGGCTTTTAGAACTGCACTCTACATCAGAGAATTTCCACGGATGTAACCAGGGTGAGCCAGGCTCAGAGTCAGTTACATCATGTTACTACATAGTCTCTCGTGTTTATAAGCATGTGCATCTGTCTGTCAGACGCTCACGATGAAATGTCAGGTGTTTTCAGTCACCATCATATGCATATCTGTTCCATGATGATGCATCACACAGTCTACTTAGTCATCTATGGTTTCTGTATCTGTGTTCGTGGTGTCCCCTAAGTATGTCAGCAGAGATCAAAGAATGTCTGTGTTCAGTTAGTACAAGAAAAGGCAGTTTAAAAAGTCTGATTTAAAGGAAGTCTATTTTTTAAACCAGCAAAATGAATTTTATTTCTTATTCCTCAACTCTATGTTCAGCAAATTCCTTTTATGGAAACTTTCCTGGATGGTAAGTGCCTTCTCCCAGTGACAAAGAACCTGCTAGAAGCTTCCATATTGAGGGGCATGGGGAACAGCTTTGCCTCCATCGCTTGTGATGAGCCCTTAGGGTCAGATCTGATGCTTTTCCTAGCAAGGAGGGGTGGGGGAGGAAGGAAGGAAAGGGAGAGCCTTTGAAGACATCGTGAACTCAGAGCCTGGGGAACTAGACCAGGTATGCAGCAGCCTCGTTGTGGGAGGTGCTAGATCCAGGGTGGACAGAATGCAGTCCTTGCTTCCATTTTACTTTCTCCTGCACTTGAACTTGAGGCTTCCACCCCTGAGTAAGGAGCTACAGGGAGGATTCTGGGAGAACAACTGTAACCTCTGGCATGTTCTTTTGTTTTGTTCAGTTTTTTCTTTCTTTCTTTCTTTTTTTTTTTTTTTTTTTTTTTGGTCTGTGTAACCTCTGAACCATCTGTCCGGTACCCTATGGCATGTCTTTTAATTTATCATGTTTCACAGCCTTCAGATTTGAATTTGACCAGAGTGTGGAAATTGTGTGAAACCATTTCTTTCTTCTTCTTCTTCTTCTTCTTCTTCTTCTTCTTCTTCTTCTTCTTCTTCTTCTTCTTCTTCTTCTTCTTCTTCTCCTTCTTCTCCTCCTTCTTCTTCTTCTTCTTCTTCTTTTTTTTTTGTCTGAGACACACCACCACACCTGGCTCAATGTGCAAACATTTCTTAGCATAGATTAGTTTATTTGTGAATAATTTAAAAAGATTAAGTATTTTTGTTGTTGCTGTTGTAAGATATTTTTCTGAGGGTATTTACAGAGCATCTGCACCACCAGACCTTAGTATCCCACCTTTACATGAATTAAAAAAAAAAAAGATAAGTAGTGAGAGTAACTTCAGAGCTGGATGTGGATGCACATACCTGTGACCCCAGCCCCCTAGGAGGTGAAAACTGGAGGGTCAGGAGTTCAAGGTCATCTCCATTACACATGGAGTTTGAGGCCAGTGTGAGCTATGTGAGAGGAAAAGGGTACTGGGGAGACAGGAATTAATACATGGATGGATGGTAGATATGTAAATGATAGATAGATGAAAGACAGATGTTAGGTAGATGATAGGTAATAGATGTTAGATAGATTGATGAATTGGTAACTGATTGATTAAGATAGATGCCTAAATACTAGATAGATGATAGATGATGGATGGTTAGATAGATGGATAAGTAGGTTAGAACATGTCCTGACTACGAAGGATAATACTATTGTCGTAAATGAAGATTTCTTTTTGTGCCTGTGCAAAGCAATTGTCTAGCTAAAACTAGGTTATCCCTCCTATATTTTAAAGTTAATCTTAGGAAATACCACCCAAGCAGAGTGAGGCATTTTGGAAATCTGTATTGTGAGTCATGAATGTGCAGTTCCTACTTTCATATATCTTACCTTGTTCTCTTGCTGACTTGTGTTATCACAAAGAGCTCATGCAGAGGACTCTAGGGAGACCCACACATGCCTTCGAGGCTAGGGACTATGTTATAAGTCCGCCTGTACTGTATGCATGCAGTACAGCCAAACCACTAACCCCATGGACAGCGCCAAGACTGGGGACCTAGGTGCAGCTTTAACACTTGCATCCCACTGATCAAAATTCTCAACTGAGAGAGCTGCCCCTGGGGCAAGAATGAGGTCTTAAGGTATAAATCCA